GATACTGGTTCCCAATGAAGTTAGCAACAAAACCTCTGTTGATTTCATCATTGAGTTTTTTGCCAGTCTTCAGCAAGGCCAAAAAGAGAAGCAGCTCTCTGGATGCTTACATGCAAAAAAACCCCGCCATTTCTTCCCTTAATGAACAAGCCCCTTATTCGGGCCGTAGCGTGCTGCTTGCTGGCTTGCTTGTATACTAATAACATAAAACCTAAACATTCTCTAGTTGGAAAAAATAGTTCTTTTTAATCTGAGGATTAAATCACTAATCATGTGCTATTAAATCACAAATTATTAAATCACTAATCACAGATATTAAATTATGTCACATCCTAAACAAAGTAAGTAACACCAAGTTTATATTGAGAAAATTAGATGTCAAAAAGGTGGCTCTGGGTAAGAGTTGTAAAAAAGACAATTAAAAAAAACCCCAACAATGTGATGATAAAGTTAAGATTTTCAGTCATGCACAAGACAGCAGATTCAGTGTTAGCCTTAATTCTGTACCTCTGCATCTATACATCATCATAGAGTTCCTCAATATATCTTTTATGGTCTTCAAGCTGTTTTGACACCCTTGCAAAAACAGACTCGTTTAATGCATTTCTTTCAGCCATGAGGATATTCTTCCCTGGCTCATCTTTTATCTGCAAATGGGTTTGCTTACTATAATGATGGGAAATAATTGTCTCTCTGAATTAGAGTAATTTCTTTCTGTGGCGCTCATCACAGAATCTGTCGCATCAAGCTGTAAAATAAAAAGGATTTTCTTATCCCTCCTTTCACATGTGGGAAACAGAGACTAAAGCTGAACATTTTTTGCAAGTGACCACCCTGAATTAACTCAGCCTGAGCACCGATAGCTCTAAATGAATTTCTGCAGATTTCGATTTGTTTGTTGTGGCATGAAAACTATCCTGCAAGAGTAGAATTCAAACTCTTTTTTTTAAATTTTATTTTATTTTAAGGCTGACAGAGGATTATGGCTTTTACTTAATATCAAGCCAGGCATTTGAACCAGCAATTAAGAAGTGAAGGTCTCTTTACATCCTTATCGGTACCTTTGCACCAGGCAAGCTGTTTAACAAAAGTCTTAAAAGTCAAGTGTGTGGCAAGCAGTTTAACAGGGTTTTTTTGTTGTTGTTCACTGTGCCTGTCTGCATAGCTGCATTTTTTTCTTGAATTTACAGCTTCTGTCAGTCCCCTACTTTTAAAAGGCAGTTCAGCTGATTTAGGAAGTGAATCAGTAAATTTAATGGACTACGCTGATCCTACTTTAAACAGCTAATTTTCAATATCCTTTGGGCTATTTGAGACAAGCAGGAATAGTGGTGCTGGTCTGATCTGATTACATTTCATTGTAGTCTCCAATGATTGACTATTTAGTATATTTAAATTGGGAGAAAAAGCTTTTTGGTTTTTAGACTGACAGTTCATGTGGATTTCAATTTAGTAAAAGCTGGAAGTACTTTACCATCTTTATGTGATATCTCCATGAAGTTAAGTGGGCAGAGTCCAGGTGGCTAAAAAGAAAAAAGAGAAATAAAGACAGAAATTAAAAAGGTCCAACCAGTTTGAATGAAGGAGGTTGAGCAGAACTAGCTGCTTGGGAGCAGAACTAGCTGCTTGCCTGAACTCTTGCTGTGCAGCTCAGGCAATCTGAAGGAGCTGTGTAACTTCGCAGCTTGTGCTGCACCTAATCAATAGAAGGACTGTCAGTTTTGTCTTATTCTCGGCACTCAGATTCATTTAAAATGTAGCCTACATTGGCCTACATCTAATGTAGCCATTTATTCTCAGGTGCTGCTGCTGTAAGAATTTTCGTGTCAGTGACCAAGCAAAAAGGTTAGGTTTTATTTAGTTGTATGTGAGGTAGTGCTGTGGTCTAACCCCGGCTGGCAGCCAAGCACCACACAGCCGCTCGCTCACTCCCCCCAATGGGATGGGGGAG